GATTGGAAAAGAAATCCGTTTTTGTTCAAAAGTACAAGGACGGGGCCCCAAGCTAGCCCCCCCTCCCCCGGGCCTTACAGTACCTGCCCAGGCATTGACTCCCGGCCCCCCGCCCTCCCCGTGCATACGCCTTACAGTCTTGTTCTCTGCCTTCCTTTACCTCTTCTGCTGCCACTTGCAGGAGCTGACATGGACGTGTGCCTTACAAACTACGGTCACTGTAACTACGTGTCCGGGAAACACGCCTGCATATTCTACGATGAGGTGAGGGGTGGGGATGGGGTGGGAGGGAGCTCTCCCCACCTGAGGCCTCTCCTAGGCACTGGGGTTTTTTGTTCAGTGTCCTGGGTGAGGGGAAGGGGGGCGGGGAGGTCTTCTCCTCTTCTTCCCTCTCTGTCATTTCTGGAGGAAAAGAGTCTCGGTGTGAAAGGGCGTCTTACCGCGGCTACCGCTCCCTCGGAGCAGGGCTGCCATTTCTCCTGAGGTTGGTCACAGGCTCAGCAGGGGGAGCCCGCCTGAAAGCAGGGCAGGGGACCAGCATAGAAGGAAGCCAAGCTCTCTGTGCCAGTGAATAGCATTTCAACAGGAGCCAGTGCCGAGGAGGCAGAGGAAAGGAGCGGTGGGAGAGCAGGGGTGGGGGGTGGGGGGCACTGGGAAGGAAGGCTTCCCTGAGGAGGTGAGTCTTGAGCCCTGTTCTAAAGAGACAGGGAAGCGGGGCTTGACTGGGGAAGAAAGAGAGCTCCCCAGGTAGAGCAGCACAGCCTTCTCCATGTGTCCTCTCTCCCCTTAGCCCCAGGCCCCACGCAGCAGACCACACATCTTATCTTCCCTCCTCCTCCTCAGAATACCAAACATTATGAGCTGTTAAACTACAGTGAGCACGGGACAACGGTGGACAATGTGCTGTATTCCTGTGACTTCTCTGAGAAGACCCCGCCAACCCCCCCAAGCAGTATTGTTGCCAAAGTGCAGAGTGTCATCAGTAAGTCGGACCCTGTGGCCCCAAAGCCGGCCTTTTTTGGACATTGTGTTAAGACCGCCGTCAGGGTGGCTCTGGCTTGCTGCCGATGACCGGCTCTCTTGCCTTCCCGGTCCCATCGGCCAAGCTCTCCTCGCTTGGGGGCCCAGGGAGAGCCACCGAGAAGCCAGTCCTGTGCGTGCGCCCACCTGCTTGGGGACTTCAGGCGCCCCTGGCCCTTTCCCGGTGTCCCGCAGCCATGGCAGACAGCCCCGGGTGGGTTGGCCGCTTCACTGTTCTCTCCCGGTGACCACGCTCCTTCTTCCCAGGGCGCCGCCGGCACCGGAAGCAGGGTGAAGAGCCAAGTGAGGAGGCAGCCATGATGAGCTCCCAGGCCCAGGGCCCACAGCGGAGACCCTGCAACTGCAAAGCCAGCAGCTCAAGCTTGATCGGGGGCAGTGGGGCCGGCTGGGAGGGCACCGCCTTACTGCACCACGGCAGCTACATCAAGCTGGGCTGCCTGCAGTTTGTCTTCAGCATCACCGAGTTCGCGACCAGACAGCCCCGAGGCGATGCTGGCCTGCTGCAGGACGGGGTCTTGGCCGAGAAGCTGTCTCTCAAGCCCCACCAGGGCCCCGTGCTGCGCTCCAACTCCGTTCCCTAGGACCGGCGGCTGCCCCGTCACGTGACCGCCTGGCCGCCCAACCCAAGACTCCTGCAATGCAAAAATGTACACAAACCAAGCCCGGGTTTTTTTCTATACTCCACCAGAAACCCTTCAACTACAATCTTTGCATGAAATGAAGAAAACCTTTTGACTGTTTTTTAAAAATCCTTTTTCTTTTCTCAAGTTCTAGGGGGCATTTGCACATATATTTGTACTCAACATTTCATGGGAAAGCGGCAGACCCGAGCTGAGGAACAGCGTGGGCAGGGAGGGGAAGGCCGATGGTCTGGACACTTCCTCCAACACAAGACCGTTCCCCACCCACCTCCTGCTCCCTCCCCCTCGCCCGCCGTTGTAAAATAATCAGAAACTTGTTCTATTTTGTGGCAGTGACAATAGTTTTATATTAAAAGAAAAAATACAGTTTTCATACAGCAAAATCTATACAATATCATTGTTTTATTTAATATAAAGATCGCTACCCACCCTACTTCGTGGTCCCCACCCTCCAAGTTACTTTCCCTTTCTGCAGCGGTTGCACGACAGGTAGCTACTGTGTATTCTGGACAAATGAGAAATGAATTCTTTTTCTGGCTGTCCATCTATTTTATTTCAAATAAGGAAAAGTGTATTTGGATTTTGTGTAAATACATCTAGTGATGACATTTTTTCAATGTTTTTAAAACCTGTACAGTACTACATGTGGTAGAGCGTTTTCTTCAAATTGTCTATTGTAGCAAAAACGTTTTTGTCGTAAACCTGTTTCGTCTCCTTTTTTTGTTCTCTTGCCACTCTCTCCTGTTCCTCCCACCCCACCCCAAGTAGTACCAATGTACATAGTAATTGTAATGTTTTAGACTTTACAGAAACTTTCCTGTATTCTGTATATAAAAAAACAAAAATACTTCAAATTATGTTTTCTGCCTGTCTGTCCTACCTGTCATCACCCTTAGAGGGGACCCTCCCCAAGATCCTGGTCGCAGTCTCATTGAACTAGTCTCATTACCAGACACTCAGTCCCCAAGGGAAGGCAGGAGAGCGGAGGTCTGGGAGAAAAGTGAGCCCAAGGTGGATGTGGGAAAGTGGAGGGCTAGGGGTGCATTGGCGGGGTCGGGCCAGGGGTGGGGGGGGCTCTTGTCTGGCTTTATGGGTGACTTGAGGGAATCATTGGACATGACCGCATACTGCAAGAATCCGAGGGTGCAGGCCCTCGCTCTTCCCTGCTGACTCCCAAACCAAGATAATAAAACAGGAGCTGTCTTTGAGACCTCTGCATTCTGGTCTAGAAACTTTAACCTCAGGAGTTGGGGCTGCTTTTAGTTGCAGTTGTTTGCTATCATTTGATTCATCAATCCTGGGAGAAGCCAACACCTGGCTCTGTCCTTCCGCTGTCAGCCTGAGCGGGGCAGGCAGCAACTCCTGCAAGTATCACTTGAGTTCCTCCTCTGTGCATGGCCTTTGCTGGGACTTTGGGCTTGGTCTACAGAACTTGCTGTGAGCAATCAGCTAGACAGATACGACTCCTGCCTCTCCGAACCTAGAATCTAGTGTGGAGCCATCTGTCAGTTCAAGCGTCTCTGGGAGGCACCATGAAGAAGAAGGAGAGATCCGATCTCTAGACCAGTGGAGCCACAACTTAAATGACTAGCAATCCTAACTTCCCTACAATTGCAGCTTCTCATCAGAAGAGGAATCTACTGCATCACCTTAATTCTGAGGCCGAGAAGCCTCTCATCAAACCAAGCTCCCATCCTTTCCACCTCTCAGACCTGACGTGGGAAACTTTCTCTGGAAGTTTTTCCTGAAGACAAGTCTTCAACTCCTTAGAGATCACCTGTGTGTCTATCCCAGCAGTGTTCGAGGACGTGGTACCTGTTGGCATGTCGGGAATTTGCCTTGAGGATGGAGAATGCACCCATTTGTTTCATTAATATTCCATTCCCAGCTTCATCCCGCAGCGTCTACAACTGAACCCCAAACCCGTGGTGCAGCCAAGTAGGAAACTTCTCTCCTCCCTGAATCGGGTCTGTCTCTGGCTTCCACCTCCCGCCTGGCTTTATCTCCACCACTCTGCTCCCCCGGCCCTGATGGGCAGAAACATAACGTTCTGCTCAGTATTCCCACGGCTAACCACACTGCTGGGCACACCGTGTCAGACAGTGGGTGCTCAGTTGTAAAGGTTTTCTCAGGCAAGTCCTTGTCCTGGCAAGTCACCTGGCCAGCAGTCCCCTTACCCGTGCCTCCCTAGCTGTCCCCACCAACCTTGCCATCATAGTCACTTCTTCCATTGAGTCATGGAGCTTCTTTACCTGTTTCTACCACCTGTGAGGACCATCCCAGAGAAATTTCCTCCTGGAAGTCAGACAACAGATTTTGTATTTTATTCTCTTCCTGCTTCCCTTCAGAAATGTAGGGGATGGGGGGGTGGGGGACGAGCAAAGGCAGAGAGATAGAGGCAGCTAATGAATGAGTGAATCCTAACAGCCCTGAACGGATGGTGCCACCCTGACCGCTGCGTCATCTCTCTGACTTTTATAGGAAGAACAAGGAAGAATTCTAGAAGCTGAGGGCTGGAAGTGAGGATAAGGAATCGAAGGACTTGTTTATGGGGGGCAAGGCATCCAGGACCGGACTCACTCTCTCTCTCAGACATAACAGCATTCATGTACACGCACCTCTCCAGAAGAGAAGGGCTCTGCTAAACACCGATGTCACCCAGAGGTCTCACACACACCTTGTGAGCCCTTCCTGCGAGTCCTCAGCTACGGGGCATGCGCACAAAGGACAGCGACATAGGGAGACGTTCGCACACATTGACAGAGACCACAGATGCATGCACACACCTGGAGGGGCTCTTGGCGCACATAGGCACAAACTGTAAAAGGTGGTCACGCAGGCATCCACACCTACAGGGTACTTCCTGGGCCTGCAAGTACACACATACCTCCAAGGTGCTCACACACAGGCTCCAGAGGCACACACACAACCTGAAGGGCAATCCCAGGGCCCATGGGCACATTACACAGAGTCATTCACACACTCAGAGTAGGTGTGAATGCACACCAACACGCATCTGGAAGGAGTTCACGCAAGCACACACCTAGAGGGCGCTGCCAGGGCCCACATGCACACGCGCCCCTAGAAGGTATTCCACAAGCACACACCCAGAGGACGAAGACGCATGCCTAGGGGGCGCTCGCAGGGCCCACGCTCACACGCACGCACACACACCCCTGCCCTGCCTCTCGCCCGCCTCCGCCTCCGCCTCCGCCTTCAGGGAGGCCCGAGCGGGTGCGGGGTGGATCGGCAGCCGCCGGGCGGGCGGCGATCCAGGGAGGTGCGGGGCCCGTGCGGGGGCCCGGCGGCGCGGCCGGCATGGAGGCGCTGCTGCTGGGCGCGGGGTTGCTGCTGGGCGCCTACGTGCTTGTCTATTACAACCTGGTGAAGGCCCCGCCCTGCGGCGGCATAGCCAGCCTGCGCGGCCGCACGGCCGTGGTCACCGGTGAGTGCCAGAGGCCCGGCGGGCGGCGGGGTGGCGGGGAGGCCGGGCGGCGGGGTCAGCGGCCCACGGGGCTCAGCGCGGCTACCGCCCGCCCACCGCAGGCGCCAACAGCGGCATCGGGAAGATGACGGCGCTGGAGCTGGCGCGCCGGGGAGCGCGCGTGGTGCTGGCCTGTCGGAGCCGGGAGCGCGGTGAGGCGGCCGCCTTCGACCTCCGCCAGGTGAGGTGGGGGGAGGCCGGAGACGGTGAGAGGGTGAGCGGAAAACAGACACACCGGGACACAGAGGGGCGAACAGAGCGGCTTCCTTAACTGGGCGTTAAGCGCAGAGAAGAGGGTCCGCGGGTGCTCTGGCCATACAGGGAAGGGGCACCAGGCGCAAGCTAGGAAGTGGGCTTTCCAAAAGAAGTGATCGTTGTTCTAAGACGTTTAAGGATCGGTAAAACTTACATTAATGAAAGACGGTAGGGAAGGGAACAGCAGAGGGAACAGCATATGCAAAGGCCCTGAGGCGAGACAGCTGAATCGATTTTTTTTTAAATGTTTTTTTTTTTAAGACTTTATTTATTTATTTGACAGAGAGAGAATGAGAGAGAGAGCACATGAGAGTGGGGAGGGTCAGAGGGAGAAGCAGGCTCCCCGCCGAGCAGGGAGCCTGATGCGGGACTCGATCCAGGGACTCCAGGATCATGACCTGAGCCGAAGGCAGTCGCTTAACCAACTGAGCCACCCAGGCGCCCTGAATCGATTTTTTAAAAAAACTGAAAGCTACATTCTGGAGGCCCTTATAGACCCTATTGAGGAACTCAGATTTTATAGGATGCGCAGTGGAGATCCCATGAAGGGTCCTCAGCAGGGTGTGGACTGTCAGAATAGCCTTCTGGGAGGAACCCCTCAATGGCTGTACATGCCTGGACTGGAGGTGGGGGGTGGGGGTGAGAGTGGGTGAGGGGAGACCAATGAGAAAGAAGTCTGTTGTAGATTTTAGGATAAGCAATAATGCGCAGAGGGAATGATAATCACAATAGCAAGTACTACCTACACAGTGCTGACTGGGTGCCAGGCACTGTTCTAAGTATTTTACATATATTACCTCATTGAATCCTCACAACAACTCCATGAGATAGGTATTACATTGTTCCCATTTTACAGGGAGAAAACTGAGCCCCAGAGAGATTAATGTCACAGTTGTCCAACGTCACACTCTAATAAAAGACAAAGTCAAGATTTGCATCCAGAGTCCACATACTTGTCCACTACATTCTAATGCGCAGGGGCAGATCTTAGCAAAAGTAGGAGAGGGACTCTCAAAATTTGGTACCTGGGGAGAGGGAAGAGGAGAGAGGTGCCTGGTGACGAGCCCAGCCCTTGCTGCCCCTACAGGAGAGTGGGAACAATGAGGTCATCTTCATGGCCTTGGACTTGGCCAGTCTGGCCTCTGTGCGGGCCTTTGCTACTGCCTTCCTGAGCTCTGAGCCACGGCTGGACATCCTCATCCACAATGCCGGTGAGGGGCAGCAGGCCCTGCGGGAGGTGGCGGGTGGGCAACTGTCCCCTCCAGCCAGGTCTTGCCAAGGGCCAGTGGATGCGTGGGAAGGATGCCCCCTACCACTCTCTCCCAGATGGGGACACCACGGCCTTTGGGGATCCCTGTGGAGCAGTTGCTCATATCGAGCCCCTGCCCCAGGGATCAGTTCCTGTGGCCGGACCCACAAGCCATTTAACCTGCTGCTGCGAGTGAACCACATTGGCCCCTTCCTGCTGACACACCTGCTGCTGCCCCGGCTGAAGACCTGCGCCCCTAGCCGCGTGGTGGTGGTATCCTCAGCTGCTCACCGGCGAGGGCGCCTCGACTTCACACGCCTGGACCGCCCAGTGGTGGGCTGGCGGCAGGAGCTACGGGCATATGCCGACAGTAAGCTGGCCAACGTGTTGTTTGCCAGGGAGCTCGCCACTCAGCTCGAGGGTACTGGTATCACCTGCTATGCAGCCCACCCAGGTGAGGCCTGGCTCTCTGCTCTGCTCTGCTCTGCTTTGAGTCCCCCGCTCCCATCCGCGACCCATCCTGTGCACCCCCAGCCTCTCATTGAGCCCCAGAATCGCAGAACAGGAAGGAAGCACCGTACAAGGAGAGACCTGTTCCTTGCTGATCTTGGAAGGAGGCTCTCCTTGTCTAGGTTCTTCCTCTCACACCACTAGCCTGGATGCTGACTCCTGGATAGGGTATGGTAATGAATAAAGCCCAGGTTCTCCCCCCAGGGAGCCACCCATATGACTGAACTCACTATAATATGAGGATAATGATGATGATGGCTAATAATTACTTATTCATTCGAAAAGCATTTACTGAGTACCTGTTATGTACCAAGCATTAATCTTGGTGCTGGGAATATAGCAGTGAACAAAACAAAGACCCTTTCCTTGTAGAATTTACATTCTAGTTTAAGGGAAGGGGAGATTGCTAATAAATATATACAGTGACAGGTGGCGATAAAATGCTATGGGAAAGATAAAGCAGAGTGAGGGGGCTTAAAATGACAGGAGGTGCTGTTTTTCTGTGGCAGTCAAGGAAGGTGTATCTGAACAGGTGACATAGGCCTGAAGGAGATGAGAGAATGAGCCATGTGGTTTTCTGGGGAGAAGAGTGTGAAGAACAGAGCAGATAGCAAGTGCAGAGGCCCTGAGGCAGAAGTCCCTGGGGTGCTTGAGAAAGAACAGGGAGCTCCACAAGTCTGGAACAGAGTGAGAGAAGGAGAGTGGCAAGAGATGAGGTACAGAGATGGGCTGGGTCATCTTGGGTCTAGAAGTCCACTGTAAGCATTTTAGCTTTTAGTCTGAGTGAGTTAACTGATGAATAAGGCCCATCTCTGCCTTACGGAACAGATTATAGGATAACAAGATCTGTCCTACCCATATTACCATACTGCATTTTTTTAAGATTTTATTTTTAAGTAATCTCTACACCCAGCGTGGGGCTCAAACTCAACCTGGAGATTGAGAGTCATATACACCAACGACCAAGCCAGACGCCCACCATACTGCACTTTAGATAGTCATTGCCTAAGGCTCACTAGTAATTATAACAGTGACAGTAATAATCACAACTAACATTTATAAGCCTTTATTACGCTCCCCATCTCTAATGTCCAAAACAGTGGCTGGGCTACCATAGACGTTAATACATGTTTGCTGGTTGAACAAAGGAATAGGACTTGAGCTAGAAGAAAAGAGGTCCCCTCAGGCAGGGGATGCAGCATGAGGGAAAATCTGGGACACGGGGATGTACAGGAACTCAGATGGAGAGGAGGAAGCTTGCTGTTGAAATGAGTGAGGTCTTCTTGTGGGGACCCTGAATGCCCACTCAATACTATCCTGGTCTCTCTGGAACTGGACTCTGTTCCCCACTCCCTTCTAGCCCTGTGTTGTTGCTCTGCCCCTGGGCCCTCGCCCAGCATCCTCACTCCTTCCTTTCTTCCTGTCCACAGGGCCTGTGAACTCGGAGCTGTTCCTGCGCCACGTTCCTGGATGGCTGTGCCCACTTTTGCGCCCACTAGCTTGGCTTGTGCTGCGGGCCCCAAGAGGGGGTGCCCAGACACCCCTGTACTGCGCTCTACAGGAGGGCATTGAGCCCCTCAGTGGGAGATATTTTGCCAACTGCCACGTAGAGGAGGTGCCCCCAGCTGCCCGAGACGACCGTGCAGCCCACCGGCTGTGGGAGGCCAGCAAAAGGCTGGCAGGGCTTGGGCCTGGTGAGGAGGCCGAACCTGATGAAGATCCCCAGCCTGAGGACCCAGGGGCCCTATCTTCCCCGAGCAGCCCCCACCCTGAGGAGCTCACAGTTTCTGAACCCCACCCCAGCTCTCAGAGTTCACCAGACTTGTCCAAGGTCACACGCCGAATTCACGTTAAAGCTGAACCTGAGCCCTAAATCTCTTAATCCTGGGATGCTTTCCATGGCACTCGGTGGCCCTTGAAAACCTTAACTGCATGTCAGGCCATGCCCTGGGCGCTGAGGGGTTTGCAATTTTTACCTCCATGGTTCCTTTCTGGGGCTTCAAATTGTGTTCTGAACAGCTCTTTTCCTGGTGGAAGGAAATCGTGGGTGATGATTTCTTCCTGAGAATAACAGTAATCCCAGATTGAGAGGTGAGGGATAATGTGCCAGACATTACTTATGAGGAATTTGAATTCTGTACTTCCAGTCCCCACTCTGGGTGATGCTGATCGGCTGGGCTCTGGATGAGGGCCTGGGGGTGGGGGGGGGAGGTGTAATTTGTAATTACAGTGCAACACTGAAAATTACTGAACTGGGCCCTTTGCAACCATGTAGCCACGTGGTCAAATGACCCCCATCTGCCGAGGCAGGATTAGGTTGCAGAGGTAAGGGACTCACTGGGCCAAGGTCTCACCGCCGGTAAGGGGGTAAGCGCAGGAGCGGTGTGACTCCAGGGCCCACGGCGGTCAGGTGGGTGCGGGGAGGTGCGGCAGGGCCGTGCCGGCGTGGTGCGGGCGCCCCGGGGCTGCTGCGGGGCTGGGCCCGGGGAAATAAAG